AAAAACTATTTGTAAAGTTAAACGGATAAAATATAAAAAATATATCTAAATACTTCTACTCCTAATTTTTACATCTTTTACACAAGTAAACACAATTTTTTATGCAAAATAAGATTAATAATGTAACATAAACCACTGGTTTAATGAATTGTCCCATTTATTCGTTCTCTTTATCATTGCCCTTCTTAATTACGCAATTAATTTACGTTAATTAGTCAAAAGCAAACTTCTACAAGGAGAGGTCTACTGCAGGAGCGCCAAGATCCCCTTTTGCATTCTTTGTGGAAAATATGAAGAAATTACCGATCATTGGTTGTTCTCCTGTAAGGAATCGTGGAAAGTATGGTCTTTATGCTATGACTGATTTTGTGGAAAATATGAAGAAATTATTGATCATTTTCTGTTCTCCTGTGAGGAATTGTGGAAAGTATGGTCTTTATGCTATGATTGGTTTTGTGGCAAACAAGAAGAAATTATTGATCATTTGCTGTTCCCTTTGTGAGGAACCGTGGAAAGTGTTGTCTCTATGATGGATTTTGTGGGAAAAATATGAAGAAATTACTGATCAGTTGCTGTTCTTCTGTGAGGAATCTTGGAAAGTATGGTCTTTATCCTATGATTGGTGGGGAATAAAGGCTGCAGCACATGCGAACAGTAGAAGTCACTTCTTACAACAAACTAGCTTGGTTCCAAGAGGGCTTCAAAGAGGAATTTTTTTTTTTTTTTTGAACAAGGGCAATTTTTGAGAGATGGGGGGATTGAACTCTGCCTATAGGGCTGAGAGAGTGCACCGCTGTCCGATCGGCCTATATGGCTAGGTGCATTCAAAGAGACTCTTGGACAGTAGTTTGGTTTGCAACAGCGAGGTCCTTATGGCTTTGGAGGAACCAAAAGATATCTAAGAATGAGGGAAAACCCCCTGGTGAGGTATTTTGACCTAATCAAATTTAGAACTCTTTCCTGGATTAAAGGTAAAACAGGGATGGATTTGATAGAGAAATTTTGGTAAAACGGTCCAAGGGAGGTGTTTAAGTCACTTAACTGAGTTCTCGGAAGTTCTTTTATTCTGTACAACCTTCGTCATTGAGGCTGACAAGAAGTTTTAAGGGAAATTATGTTCCGTGCGTCTCTTATTATTATTATTTATTTTTAACATCCTACAGTTCACTATTTAATATTGTAAAGGGTTAAATTTTAACATTTATTTTAAATTAAAATTTTTATTAAATTAATATGAAGTGTTTACTGATCAATAAAACTCATATTAGTATTATATTTTATGTTTATTTTTTTGTAAGATGATATTTTTATTCACTTTGTAACAAGTAGGAATACTTTTTGTATTTTAATGAACAATATTTTTTTTTTGTCGATGAAAAAGAAAATTACTCTCCACGGAAACTTGAAATTAATCTTTCGTTAGCATAGGAGTTGTATTCACATGTTTGGACTCAATTCATCCGCAAGTTTGATTTACATTAACATAAAAGAAAGTATTGGTTGAAGAATCTCTATATCATACATGTGATTAAACTATTATTATTTAGTTTAAATTACATAAAAAAATATAATTTAAATTAAAAATATATTTTTTAAAATAATATCCCAACATTTCGAAGTACATACTTTTTTTATTAACAAAAATAAGTTCATTAAATAAGAGTACGTGTAGAGTGATGTTTCTTTTGATTGAATTTCAAAAAATATAACAAGAAAATTAATTTTTTAAATCACAAATACTCATTAAATACTATGCAATCTTATTTGTTGTTTTTTAGCATGAAACAATCAAGGATGATCGAGATGTCTAGCACCTTAACTTTTATGATGATTTTTCAAATAAATAACTGTTTATAACAATTAAGCTCTATAAAAATAACTTTCTATCCATTTTCCTCAGCTTTAGTAGATCAGGCAAAAAATTTGAACTGCCCTGATGTGTGGGCAAAGGTTATGATCCTTCCTTATTTACTGCAGTATTCACAGCCACTTGAATTCTCATTATAATCCTCAAAAGTACACAATCAATCATTTCAAGAACTCGTCACCACTTATGGTTTCAATGTCACAAGCAAGATAACAATGTATACTTGCTCATGTCACAGCCACATTCATTTGCCAAAGGTCGCTTAAAATACCCCACTTAAAAGATATTTAGAATGCCACAGTTTAATTTCCAATTCAAAATTCTACCAAAGGCAAAAATAATAATAATAATAAAAAGAGCTGAAACAGTAACTTAAAGTACCTCTTTGGTTGCGTTTCATTGAACCTGCATAGAAATAATTAGGAGTTTAGGATTTCCTTCTCTCGACCTTAGAAAACATTAGAAGTTGAGATTTCTACATTGCTTCTCAACATCTTTGAGGTCCACGCAGAAGAAATACATCCTTTGAGGTCAGTTCCTTTCAAAATAGCGACTTTCTTGAAAAAAAAGGGAGGAATTATCTTTAAAAAATTTAAAAATTGAGACCAACTAAATCCTAAAAGAATTCCCAAATAAAGCAGGTCCAACAAAATTTAACCTTGAGGCCCAACTTGACTTAATTTACTTTTTGTTTTTAGTCCAATTTAATGGGGCTCCAAACGCAGACCCAAAAATAAAAAGGCAGAAGTAAAAGTTAATGAACCATTGTCAACTCAAAAGCACAAGCATGGCTGCACCGGAAAGTATGTAATTACACACCTGAGAGTGATGAAGGCTGGAATTAAAAAGGGCGAGTGAACATTCCTTCTTTGACAATTTCAGAGTCAGTGGTCTCTAATACGTCACCAGGAGTTTTGTTTGTAACTAAAGCAGACCAAAGAGCAGCACTGCAGAGACGTCAATATTTTTTTTTTTCATATTATTAATGTAACAATGGAAGAAAGACCAAAGATAATTAGAGGCATTGGTAAAAATAGAAAGTTATAATTAAGTTCAATTACTAGGGTGTATTTTACCCTAAGATAAAAAACTGTATTTTAAGTCGAATTATATATTAAAAGTGTAATTCCAACACTGAAAATTTATAGAAATATTCTTAATGAAACTCTTCTTCATATTTATTCATTGCAATTTAGTAATTTTAGTGATAGAATTGTGCTTTTAATATTCAGTCTAAACTAAAATACATGAAATTATATATGTATATAACCTTAGGCTGCAGGCATTAAAACTTATTGCTTTTTTTTTTTTCTTATTGTGTTTAATGTTTTTGAAAAAAAAAAACCACTAAATAAGTAAATATTACTGTATACATAAATGAAACGAGGAATGGATATAACTAGAGAAAAAATGGACATGATAGAAGTTTACCTTGACATCCAAAAGTTAGATAAGGATTGCTTTGAAATCCAGGATCACAAACACATTGTCGAGTTGTGTCTAGGGGCATTAAAGTGGAAGAAAAACC